ATGTGTAAATCACTAAGCTAAATTTGGCCTGTTTGTCATATGCATCTAAGCAGGCATGTTTTTTCCATAGGTTAACCCAAATATGTGATTTAGCTCGTGTTTATGAATAAAAGATTTCTTGTACTTGCTACCTACTTGCTACCTACCGCTACATACAAACAATGTTATATATAATTGGCCTCGGATTAGCAGACGAGACAGATATAACGCTCAAAGGTCTTGAAGCTATAAAATCGTGTGAACGCGTGTATCTTGAGGCTTACACTAGCGTTCTTTTGGTTTCTAAAGAGAAATTGGTATTAATATTGAATTCTCTCGAGTATTTCGATCGACGCTCGGAATTGGTATACTGATATTTTTGAAATACATGCGTAAAGGAAACATTTTATAGACGAAATTTGATTTTGGCAGACCGAGAATTAGTAGAAACACAAAGTGATGAAATTTTGGCGGGTGCTGATACCGTAAACGTCGCATTTTTGGTAGTCGGGGATCCTTTCGGGTGAATATAATAACAGTGGTATTCATCTATAAATTCGACTAGTTAATAAAATGTTAATAATGACCAAAGAGCAACAACACACACAGATCTTGTACTTCGTGCTCGAGAATTAAACATCCCGGTGACCACAATTCACAATGCCTCAATAATGAACTCAGTCGGTGCATGTGGATTACAGCTATACAATTTCGGTCAGACAATCTCGATTCCTTTTTTCACGGATTCATGGCGTCCCGATAGTTTTTATAACCGAATAATGGAGAATCGAGGGTTGGGTCTGCATACACTTTGTTTATTAGGTGAGAGTGTCATTTATATCATTAAGTAAGAATTTATTTTTCTTAGTTAATTTCTTGCTGTTTATTAATTAAAAGCTCGAGTTTTTTTTAACTCTCATTATTCTAATAATTCTTATTCTGATGAGCAGATATCAAGGTCAAAGAGCAAAGTATAGAAAATCTGGCTAGGTAATTAATTTTTATGTTTCCTTTTTTCCATCCATAATTTAATTTTTATATATAAACCTATGATAGAGGTCGTAGAGTGTATGAACCCCCGAGGTATATGACGATCAATCAGGCAATCGAACAATTGCTAGAAATCGAAAAAAATCGAAAAGAGAATGGTATGTGCACTTTTTCAATTGATTATATGCGGAATTCCGTCTAATTCGATTTTCTTTTAATCTGTATGTTTTGCGTACAAAAACACCAAAGCGTATACAGGAGACACATTAGCATTAGGGATTGCACGTCTCGGCTCACCGACTCACCAACTAATAAAGGCTGGACCCCTCGAGCGATTACTCGCAGAGGATTTCGGGCCGCCACTACATTCACTGGTGATTGTTGGTAGTCGGATGCATGTACTCGAGGCTGATTATATGCGACATTTTGCGGTAGTGGTGCAAGAGTTTGATGAAATTGTGAAACGTGATTTTATTAAGGGTTGAACCTTGTTAATCTTGATATGGTCAGAAAGTTATGGAATACGTAGTTGATGTACAAGACAGAGATTGCATTATGATATATTTTTTTCTCGATAATTGATATTTAAATATTATATTATACTTATTAAATGCATGCATTTATATACTTTATCTCAGGATCAGTCAATCTCTAATAAAGTGACAAACAAAAATTATATATTCCATCGTTATTATTTCATATTCCATCGTCATTACTAATAAGAATTCCATATTCTATCGTAAAGTGACCTTATCGTTCAAACAAAGGAATTCTATATCCCATTGTTATATAAAATCAATACTCCTTAAATAATTGATGCACCTTTGGAAGGTTTCGATTTTGTTGCAGTAATCACAAAAATTATCGCAAGAAAGAAAAGTGACGAAAGATAAAATAAAATTATGTGATAAAAATAATTTAACACGAGGTTACCTTGTGAATATAGGGCTTAGTGACCAAGACCATGGCTACGTACGTTGATTAAAAGAATACTTGTGATAAGATAAATGACTTCAGCAAATATTATACTCGATACTGGGCTAATGCATGCATTTTTTGGCGGATGCTTGTCACCTGTCGCCTGTGTCAACTGGCCTGTCAAACTCTGGCCCCTGTGTCGCCTGTCTATCGTTTATGAGGATCTTTTTGATCCATTGTTTAAAAGAACATTATTTGGTAATGGAAGAGAATGGTAACAAGTAAAACGTGTAAAATGTGCTCAATTCTATCGTTATCAAAGATAACATGCATGCTTTGTGTTTTTGTTATACATATTATTATTGCAAAATCGACAATAAATTAAATAATATATTGTGTAATTAATCATTAAAATTTAATCCTCTTATAGTTAATCTATGTATTGCCACATCCAATTCTTATTGTTATAACAAAGAAAATTTTATGTGCGCACTCCCTCACGCAATGCACGTTCTTCACGGAAGACTTGTGTAGAAAAAATCTAGTGCATCAATTTTAGACCACAGAATTTTAAAATAAAAAATATGTTTCCAAGGAAACCGTCAATAAGCCATATATTCGTTATATAAACATTTATGATTAAGCAGCATCCGTTCGTTTAGTCTTTGCTGTACGACTATAAATTTAGGGTAAAGTGTAAAAACTCGACCGGGAAACCACGTCATTTGACATGTAAGATGATATCACCAGATTCTCCAGGTATAAATTCAATTTGTGTGTTCTGCACGGAAAAATCTCATACAGTCATAAAATTCGTTAGGACACATACATCAAGCAGTGTTATTCGAGAGCTAAATTAAAACCATGTTACTTTTGATAGCGATAGAAACTAATTAACGTGAGAAATAATGTTAAACAATGGATCCAAAAGATCAAAAGGCGATAGGGCAACAGTCGACAAGTGACAAGCATCCGCCAAAATGCATGCATTAGCCCAATGTATGCTTAATCATATAACGATAATGATAACTTGAATGAACAACTTGAATGAACAAATACTTTGAAAACAACATCAACAAATATTACTAAATCATATATCTAAAATTGATGCGCGATTTTTTTCGGCACAAGTTGTCCGTGAAGAACGTGCATTGAGCACACACATCAATTTTAAGTTATGTGAGGTAGTGCGCACATAAAATTTCTTTATTATAATAAAATTGGATGCGGTAATACATACAGTCAGACCTCCCCAAGTGCACCCCCCTCGGGACCATAGTGAAAAAAATATAAAAAGTGCATTTAGAGAGGGCGTGCATTTATAGAGAGCAAAATGCATAGAGTTCTTATAAGCTGGGACCAAGCTATACCGTGCATTTATATAATCCGTGCATTTATAGAACGTGCACTTAGGGAGGTCTGACTGTAGATATAATAAAATGTCAGTTAAACTCAACTATAAGAGAATTTGGCGGATGCTTGCCTTTCTGTCGTCTGTCTGTCGATTGTGGCCCTATCACTTATAGTTTAACGCAGAGTTGGCATTTTGGCCAATTTTAAAAAATATTTGGCCAGATCAGTGGCCAAAATTTACAAATATAATAATTTAATTTCCTTTTTTGGTATTTTTAGCCTTGCTGTGTATATCGACCTCTTTATAGTCACCATCCTCGGAAAAGCAAAATTTGGTGACTATGTGACTATAGAGGGGGTTTTTTTTACTATGTTTATATGTAATTGGGAAAGCAAAATAGGATGGGTGTGACTATAGAGAGGTTTGACTGTACTGGTTTTTATTAATTGTAGTACACAAAATGTTAAAAATTTAACGTCCGGTCCAAAATTATATAATAAGACATATAAAAAATATAAATTTTCAAGCTATGTATATATCTAAATTTTATACAAGACTTGTGGCAACTTAAAATGCAGACTTCTGATTGGAAATTAAAAAAATTTTCCCACGCTAATCAATTGTATTTTTGAAAAAAAATGATGGAACTGTTTTAATTATAAAATCAACAAAAATTTTTTTATACGTATTTACTATATAATTTTAAATCGGGCGTTACTTTTGGGGGGTACTGTACATGTGTGTGTTGGATAAATATTAAAAGAAGTGCAGATTTCTTTGACGAGATTTCTGATTGTTTTCAAAAAATGGAAATTCAGCGACATTTAATCATTTATTTCATCGTTCTATTCTAAATAGAACACCGCTTGTATAACAAAATGTTTTGCTTCCGAACTTATTGTACTAAGATGGCATGTAAAATGTATAATATATTGAGCGGTGTGCCATTTATCATCTGATTTATACCATGGATACGTGAGGTCAGTTAGTTATCACATCTCCGTGGATGGATAAATGGCCCCTAGCTTCTTTGTAATATGCATCTTATAATAACGGTAAAATAGCCATATATAAACTCAAAGGTATTTTAATTTATACCAATTATACGGTTGTTATATACCAATGATATAATATTCTCCATCCCTATTTCAGAAATGTATTTAAAGAGTGCCTTTCCTCTCAAACATTCAACTATCCTCTAAAATAATAATAATTTCAATCACAAAAACACTTATCTTTAACTTGATAACGAATCTAAAAGTAATAATCGAATCGCAAGTAAACATTTAAAACTGTCAATTAATTAACAACCTTAACAGCAGCATTCCAATATGGCGCAAATCATCTCTGGAACTAATGATATTTTTACCAGTCATCAACAGGTGCCTCGACAGCTGCAACAACCACATTATAATATAGAGCAAATCATATCTGGAGTTGATGATATTTTTACCAGCCATCAACAGGTGCCTCGACAATCGCAACAACCGCATTATAATATAGAGCAAGGAATTAATGATATTTTCACCAGCCATCAGCCGCAACAGCTTCAACAGCCGCAACAGCCGCAACAACTGCAACAGCTGCAACAGCCGCATTCTAATATGGAGAAAATCATTTATGGAATTAATGATATTTTCACCAGTCATGAACAGCTGTTTCAACAGCCGCAACAGCCGCAACAACCTCAACAGCTACATTCTAATATGGAGCAAATAATATATGGAATGAATGATATTTTTACCAGCTAGCCGTAGCAGCCTCGATAGCCGCATTCTCTTATTCGTTGCTCTGTCCCTTTCGATTCTTGTTCCTTGTTCTGTTCCTTTCGATCCTTGTTCCCTGTTTTGTTCCTTTCGTATTCCGTCTTCCTTTCGATCCTTGTTCCCTGTTTTGTTCCTTTCGATTCCGTCATAGACTCGTTTAATAATTTCTATCTTTCTTTTACGAACTCGTTTTCCGTTTATTTTGATAGTCTTTTATAAACTTAGTCTTTATGTTTAAAGTTCGTTACTGTTTTACATAATCAAAAAACGAACAATTTGACTCTACTGATAATAAAATATATTGACCAATCAGAGCTCTACGCAAGTTGCATAATGCTCAGCTACTTGATAACGATATTTGAAAATGTGTATACTGTACTTAACATTCTGTATTCCATAGCCATGTCGGCACCCATTTCTCTACAAGGTCAAAGTTAACCAGATGGGGGTGGATATAACATGGCTGGGACACTAAATTATGTCATTGTCTATACATGTAGTAGGTTACTATGATGTCGTTGTGTTATTGACCAATCATTTGAATAATGAAAAAAAGCTAAATTCAGAGAACAAAGAATAATAATAAAAATGAAGAGATAATTAACAAAAGGCCATGAAAAATGTGTGTCTATGCTGTTCTCGACATTGAATGCAAAATAGGAAAAGGTCGTATTATTTATTAGCTAATATTTTATGAGCTTGATCTTAAGTAGAACAAAGTTAATCATTTTGATTGCTAGAAGATCTTACCTTGGTGGAGGAGGAAGCACCTCTATCAAACTAATACGTCAGCGCCCTTATTGATCCCCGGTATTTTGCGCATTTTAATATAAACCATACTATCATTTACATTTAGAGAAGAGATGCCTAATAAACACTTAATTCAATTGCTTCGCAAATTATTTCATTTTAGATCAACTAATATTAATTTGTCTGTTATTATACTGTTATTGATAATAAAATATCGACAATTTTAAATTTATCAGATATAGTAAATTCCTTTAAATGCTATTTGAAAGATTTTGTAATATATAGCTCAAATTAAAAAGCTCCGTTTCAATGTATTATGAATAATCGAACTTCCAGAGAAGTTATTAGTTACATGCAAAAAAAAATTAATTAAAAATAACAAAGCATGCGCATTATAGTTATTTTTTAATTGCAATATTATTTATTTTTTTGAACTATTAAAACAGATCATGCATTTGAAAGAACTAATTTTTAATAAAAACATTTTGTTATACAAATGGTGTTCTATTTAGAATAGAACGATGAAATAATCAAATGTCGCTGAGTTCCCGTTTTTTGAAAACAATCAGAACTCTCGTCAAAGAAAGCTGCATTTCTTTTAGTATTTAACCAACACACACACACACACACACACACACACACACACACACACACACACACACACACACACACACACACACACACACACAAGTGTCTTTCGATTTCCAAGCAACCGTCAATAAACCAATAACAAACATAGTCAATGAGTATTCATTCAAGCAGTGTCATTCGAGAACTATATTAAATTACCCGTCCGCCCAGTGTTGTACATTTTGGATGTCCGCGACTTTTTTGAGATGTCCGCGTCCGGTCCGCGGACGTCCGTACTCTTGTGTTACATATAAATATATATCGAAACTTTGTAGATATATGCAAAAATCAATTGTGAACAACTTTAATTAGTAGTTCAAGACAACTTGTCTTAATAAAATTTCGCGTAATTCGACATCAAAGTTGGTTACACAATGTCCGAAATCTGTCCATGATGTCCCATGTACAACACTACCGTCCGCGTATTAATTACACTTAGTAATAATAATATATTATTTAGTTTATTGTCTCAACACCAATGATAAAAATTCCTGTATAACAAATAAAGAAATGTTTTTATTTTTGTTACACATTTCGCGATATCATTCTTAATTTATGCAAGATGACCATTTTTCTTTTTCATCCGTTTGCCCGTCCGCGTACTAAAAATCTGTCATATTATCTTTGATAGAAATAATGAAGGAGATTAACAAACATGAGAAAAAACTCGCATGTAATTTTTAATTTAATTTCACATTTAATTTTTAATTTAATTTCACATTTTATATCGATATGTTTACCAAATAATGTTCCTTTTTTAGACAATTGACAGACAGAAAGGTAATAGGTAAAAAATGCATGCATTAGCCTAGTGTTTAAACTTAATTCTCTTATAGTTAATCTATGTATTACCACATCCAATTTGATTGAATTGATATTTTATTATATCTATGTATTGCTGCATCCAATTTTATTAGTGTGCAATTATTGTTATAACCAAGAACATTTATGTGTGTGCACTACCTCACATAACTTAAAATTGATGTGTGCTCAATGCACGTTTTTCACGGACAACTTGTGTTGAAAAAAATCGTGCATCAATTTTAGACCACAAAAATTTTAAAATAAAACATATATGATTTAGTAATATTTGCCAAGCAAACCGTCAATAAACTACTAATGAACATAAAGTCGATGAGTATTTGTTCATTCAAGCAAGTTTTTTATTCAAGTAACATATCATTTGCTGTTGTCGTTATCATTATCGTTATCGTTATATGATTAAGCATACATTGGGCTAATGCATGCATTTTGGCGGATGCTTGTCGCTTGTCGACTGTTGCCCTATCGCCTTTTGATCTTTTGGATCCATTGTTTAACATTATTTCTCACGTTAATTAGTTTCTATCGCTATCAATAGTAACATGCATGCTTTGTGTTTTTGTTATACAGATTTTATTATTAATGCAAAATCGACAATAAACTAAATAATATATTGTTATCGTTATTACCAAATAAAGGTATTTATGTGGACAGTGTCATTCGAGAGCTAAATTAAAACCATGTTACTTTTGATAGCGATAGAAACTAATTAACGTGAGAAATAATGTTAAACAATGGATCCAAAAGATCAAAAGACGATAGGGCAACAGTCGACAAGTGACAAGCATCCGCCAAAATGCATGCATTAGCCCCATGTATGCTTAATCATATAACGATAATGATAACGACAACAGCAAATGATATGTTACTTGAATGAACAACTTATCAATTTTAAGTTATGTGAGGTAGTGCGCACATAAAATTTTCTTTGTTATAGCGATGAGAATTGCATATTAATAAAATTAGACGCGGCAATGCATGAAAACAATAAAATATCAGTTTAAATCACATAGATTAACTACGTATAGGAGAATTAAATTTTATACACTGGGCTAATGCATGCATTTTTGGCGGATGCCTTTCTGTCGTCTGTCTGTCGACTGTGGCCCTATCGCTTAAGTGATCCACTGTCTAAGAAAGAAACATTATTTGGTAATGAAAGAGGATAACATATAAAATATGAAATTAAATTAAAAATTACATGCGAGTTTTTTCTCAATTTCCTTCATTATCTCTATCAAAGATAATAAACATATTTTATTATTATAAAAACAATTACTAGTACACGGACGGGCAAACGGATGAAAAAGAAATTGTCTTTGTTACGATAAATAATATATAGTTCAATATTCCTTGCTGTGTATATCGATTAAAAATTGTATTAGTTTAAAATTTTGTGGCGCAAATTAAACAGATGAAAATGTAAGATAGAAAATGTGTGGTGTAATGGGTTGCCGTAATTTAATTTAGTGCTTGAATGAATACTCATTGGCTGTGTTTATTATTGGTTTATTGACGGTTTGCTTGGAAATTGAAAGATAATATGCGTGTATCTAAATATAAATTCTACTAAAAGAAATGCAGATTTCTGACGGGAGTCCTGGTTGTTTTTCAAAAAAAATAGGAATTCAGAACACAACTATCTTTTGACTTTTAACAAAAATGCTCAGCGCAAAATTTTATATATAGTACAGTCAACTCTCGATATAGTAAAGTTGAACTCAAAAACAGTATATATTATATCCTCTCGATATAGTGAATTTTGAAAATTTTTCACTAATAGCCCGAACACCTATAACGAAGTTTTACTGTAGTAAGCTGATTCGCCACTAATCCCGTCATATGACGATCTCACAATTTTTTGATTGGTTGCTATGGGTGGCTCTGCTCAGCCATGTGGCTTATGGCCTGTCTCGATATATGAAAAGTGATGTTATTACTATATGAAATTAAGCAAGCTGAAATTGGCATTCTTAAACTGGAATTTTATTAATGTGACTAGGTTGTATACACTGTATGCATATAATATTTGCATTATTTGTCGACTGTTTTAGGAACACACTCCCTCGTCATTTAGCGTTAGATAATTAATATGCATATTATATATATATATATATATATATATATATTGATGTATAAAGATACTGTGCTTTATTTAGGAAATAATGAATGAAATCTAGTTTTTAAAGAAAGTCATGTACTTAATATTTTGGTGCTGTGACTTGGAATTTTTTAGATGTTACGTAATAATCTGTTGTTCCGTAACGGTAAGGTTGTTAATGGAGCACTCCAGATCATATTAAAACATATAACCCACTCCGGAGTGGGTTATAT